AAGGGGGAGCGGTCTTTGCCCTTCCTTTCCTTTCTCTCCTCGCTGTGAGGTCCGCTCCCACCTCTTCCTTATCCCTGCTTCCGAGCCCTACGTCAAGATGGTGATAGTGGCAGGACACAGAGAGTGATATCTTCGCAGTCTTCGCACTACGTTGGGGGAAATGGCAGAAAAGTTGGGAAATGCCCCTGAAGTTTGCCAAAAGTGTCAAAGGTGTCTCATACGAGAAGGAGGACACACAGGGCCTTGACGACTGCAGACAACTGTGTTCTGTGCGGGGTGACAAACCCCTCCCGTGCCCAGTACCTCCGTCTGATGCGCGAGCAGGCTCTCGTACAAGATGATGCCGCCTCCCAAGTTTTCTCTACTACGAGTGCGACACCGGCCTGCTTCTCCCACAAAGAAAAACAAGAAGAAAAGGAAGAGGACGGCCGAGCCCAAGCGCCCGATGACCCCCTCATGGAGCAAGCACGGCCTATGTCCTCCAGGGGCCTATCCCCTACTCGCCCGCTGCGCTCGACGAGCCCTATCACCAGGACACTGCAGCCCCACAAACACCTCAGCTTGGGGATTCTGACCCCCTCTTGCCAACCGCGGACCGCTTGGACGAGACTGCACAAAACGAAGTGGAATGGAACCGGGGGCTCCACAACGTAGTCGACATCTTCGATGACGCAGAGGAACTTGATGACAAAAAGCAAAGCAAGGAGGACTGCAAGATCTTCATCGTGCATGCTCTCCCGGGGGACGTGACTGTCTTTTTCCTTTCGGGGACGATCGCCATCCTCACCCATCTGTTGTCAAAGAACCAGTTCGCGCGAAGGGGGACTGCAACAATCTGCAACAACGTCACGTTCGCGACTGTGGCCTGTACGGTGACCTCGCGAACCACACCCTACACGCGTACACCTCGGGGAAAGCTGGGGGAAATGATTGAACGACACGTCTGCAGAATTTGCGTTGTGGGGAAGGGCAGATGCTTGCCAGGAATGCAGAAGCAACAGATACGTGATGACCCAAAGCAAGACCAGTGAAAACTACGTCAAGTTGAAATGTGACGGAGTGGATCGCCTTTTCGATGAATTCCTGGTCACAGACACAGATTTCACTTGGATCACGAGACCCCCTACTCGGAGAGACCTCGAAAACAGTGGGGGGGAAGTGGTTGACTTCGACCTGTCCTTCAACAGGGACGGCAACAGCGTCGACCCAATTCATTGAAGAACTTCATTGCGATTCATTGCGTTAAGGACCAGAAGGAGGTCTGGAATGAAGGCAGCGGAAGTTGTTTCTCAGCCGTGCCACACCAACACTGCTGAGCAGCCCTGAAAACTTGAGTTTTGACTTGGACGGCGCATCTGCCGGGAAGCACTGTGGCGGAGGGAACAATGTGACCATCAGCGACGACCTCCGGGAAAAAGCTATGTTAGGCGCCCAAACCCTGATCACACCAGAGTGGCCTGAAGCTGATCCAAAACCACCCCTACCGAGACGACGGCGAGCTGCAAACACACAGCCGCTACGCCACACAACCCTCCACAGCAGCCTCAAAAAAAAACACGTCGAGCTCAAGTCGGCCTAATATGCAAGAAAATGGCCTTCAAAAACGGGGGAGTGCCGAGCCGTGCATCGGGGTGGGGCTTGTTGGGGATCGGAATTCGCATCCGACCCACATGTGTATAGTGGCAGAACCAAGACGGCGTGGCAGAGACGAAGCAAGTTGCGGTTCAGGGAGAACAGAAAAGTTCGAAGGCGGGAGGGCACCGACAAAAGGGACAAGGATTGGAAGAGATCGTCGTGGCCCGAACAAGTGTGCAGACTGATGAGGAGACACGTGAACGCAGCGAGCGGCCTGTCATTTACAAAACTGGGGGGACTTTATTGCACTGTGATCATTCTGTTCGTTGTATGTGCTATTTTGCCTCAAATTAAGTCCCACAAGAAATAGTAGCAGAAGTCGCAGTGAGTTCGAATGCGTTGACATGACCATTGACCAACCCACCGCTTCCGTCCGCAATGGCTCTCCATAGTCCGTGGAGCAACACAGAAATGTGGAAGATCCGCATGTGTGCTTCTTGGCCGTCCGGTTTGCAAACAATCCGGCGGCCGATTTTGGTGGCCATACGCTGATGTCTTCATTATCCGACCGGTGGATCACCCCAGCTGGTTGGAGACACAAGCTCCGTCCCAACCGCTCACGCATTTGCCCGTCCGTGTCTACTGCATGCATGTGTGCTCGCGGTGGAACACGAACACACATGGCTTACGGTGCACGTCCGCTGTCTGTTTCTCACCGGTGGTAGTTCTTTCCACATTTGTTTTTTCTCAGTTCTAGCTTCTAGCTTGTGGCCGGTCCGGCCGCCACAAAAAATGGGTCCCGACCACTTCGTCTGTTCACTTTCCGAGTCCGTCTCACAGACTCCGGTTTCCTGCAGCGGCTTCAAAAAGAGTAACCGCTTGCTGGAAGGTACACGAGTCAGACTTTCCTCAAGCTTAGGGTAACGGACTTTGTAACGGACTTGACTGGTCCGAACGAAGATGCCTTTTTTGATTTGCTGCCTAAGCTATTCGCACCCGCAACATTCGGTGTCGCACAAGCGCGCAATGGAGGGCCACAACCGTCCACCACAGCCCTGGCGATAGAAAAAAAGAGAGAGGGAGAAGCCACAACCCCTCACCACAGCCTTGGCAAAAGAAGGAGAGAGAGAGAGAGAGGCAGAGATGCTTCCCCTCATACCGCGCAGAGAGAGAGAGAGAGAGAGAGAGAGAGAGAGAGAGATGAGTGATAAGCCGAGCCAGCCTTGATCCGCCATTCGACCTTCTTGACTCCAACTGGCCCAGACGGAATCCTAGGCATATGGAAACAGCACGAGGCATGTTGTTGGCAGCAAATCAATTCGGATGCCAGTCCAATGTAGAACTCAGCACATCTCATCAGAAACTGATTTTCGCTGCATGTCATGGCATTCGTTGCCGTGCCTGTGCAGGGAGCTACGTCCCCCTCGTTGGGGGCCGGAGTCCGTTCATCAAGTTCTCCGTCTTTGCGGCAACAGATGCCTGACAACGATGCATGTGGACTGCTGATCGCTTTGGTATCCTCTGTGTCCATCGTGCTGGTGGGCAGAGGACAAAGACGGATGTGGAGCAAGGCCCGCAGCCGCACGGTCATGGGCAGCAAGCCAGAAGCAGATGTCGAGGAACGCCTTCGAGAAGTGGAGAGTACGATGTCCATGGACTCTGACGAAGACCATATCTTGCAAGCAGATCTTGAAGGCATCGAGACGCAAAAAGGAACTGCTGGACTTCGTTATTCAGAGACCCGCAGCCTGCCACGATTTTTGTTCTTGCGTGAGCCTGACTACCGCGCTTTTGCTGCGAACGTTCCTGGGGATTTGGGCTTTGACCCTCTCGGTCTTTGCACAGACGTGCGGAAATTCGTTGAATATCGCGAGGCAGAGCTGAAGCACGGCAGGTTGGCAATGTTCGCGGCGGTTGCTTGGCCACTGGCCGAGATCGTTGATGAGAGCATCGTCGGCTCTGACTCCAACGCTGTCGACTTTCTCGCCGAAACGGGTGGAAAGATGCTTCCGCAGCTTGGAGAGAATGACACATTCGTGGAAGTCTTTGCTGCCATAGTGTTGGCCATAGGCGGTGCAGTGGAGCTCTTTCGTGGTGAAGGCAAAGATGGAAACGAACCCGGAGACAGTGGCTTCGACCCTTTGAGACTGAAATCTTGGCGGCCACCGACTGTGTTCCGCACGTTCTTGCCAGAGAATCGGCCATGGATGGGTGAGGCTGAGATTCAGCACTCACGCTTGGCTATGTTGGCAGTCCTATATGACATCTTGGTGGAGTTCTTCACACCAAACCCAGTGGTGGAGGATACGGAGTATATCTTCCACAGGATCGATGCCAAACTTCTGAGGTGGGACTACTGGGCCTTGCAGCCAAGCATTCTGGACGCAGGGCCAGATGTGCAGATTTGAGCCCGTGTGGCCACCTGTGGCCCATGCCTGTAGCGGGGCCTCTTGTACAGGAGCAGTTCTTGTTTCCGTTACATTAAACGATCGCGAAATTGGAAATGGCCATTGGAGCTTCAAAGAACGATAGAGAACCGGAAGCTGCGTCATGAGAACATTCGCATAGCAAGTCGATCGCCAAGGCATTTGTGCTTGATCTTTGATGGCCATGCAGCATGGGGCGTCGTTGATGTAGTGGCTCGCACGGTGTTGATGGCCATGCAGCATGGGCGTCGCTCATCTAATGTCTTGGTGGGCACATACGGTTTGCTGGTGCAGCGGCCAGTACCCATTGTGCAGGAGGATCACCATGAGCACGTTACAGCAACACATTGCAGCACGACATGTGTCTTTGCGAAGAGACTCTTGCAACTAGTTAAGGTTGCTTTTGACTCGGTCACGCATGGCCATACACGGCTTTGCAGCAAGCATTAAAACGGAGGAACAGGTCACCCTGCCAGTAGCAGCCCATCGTTTGACAATTCTTCGGAGAAGCAAACCCACTGTGATGCGCCGGTTCTTCCGGGGCTCGCTGTTGGGCCTTCCGTCTTTTCAGGAGTATGGTCTTGCAAGTTACTGCAAGCTGCTGTTGTTTGTCCTGTTCATTCTTGTGTGTTGCGATGTCGCGTGTCATCACGGTTTCGGAAGACACGAGGTGCAAGCCCGTCTGGCCTGCACAGGTTGGCACATCTAGACATGTCTGAGCCGTCTGCAGTGCAAGCCCCCGTGGCTCCAGACTGCAGGAGGCTTATATCGCATGCACGCGTATAGTCAGTACAGTCCGAACTTGTGATCAGACATGTCCAGGCTTGCACCGGTGCATCGTGTAACAGCAATGGCTTAACGCATATGGCGTGACGCTACAGTACGCAGTGGTTTGCTAGATAGCACTTTGCTGCGACTGCCTCCCACTCCGTGGCAGAGGACCGGCTTGCCAAATCCATGTAAATGTTATCTCGTTCTTACTGCCACTGCAGGATTCCCATGGAGAATGACGATATCTCTGTTATCGAATCCAAAGAGCAGCAGGCCGTGGATGAGTACTGTAACTTGACAGCAACCAGACCAGCTGGCAACTTTGCAGATGGCATCCTTCTTTGTGCTGAGGTCGGCAGCATGATGTCCAAGGTCTCATCGAGGGTTTAGTCACCCGGTACCTTTCCGAGCGACCCAAGGCACCAAGTGAACCGATTCAAGTCACAAGCCTGTCAAGAAGTCATCCGCTTGGATGGAGCTGAACGGCACGGCCTTGCGTGATCAGGACATGAAGCCCAAGGAGTTCTTCGCACAGCAGCTGCGGCTTGCACCTCAAACAAAAAACTCAATTTGGTCCACCTGGCACACGTCCAATTACAAGCTTGCAACTCCAAGACGTCGTCTTGTCGTTTCAGGTTAGAGATGCTGGCTGGTGACGAGGTGCATTCCTCTTGCTTCTTCCCGACTCGTTCACAGACATACTGCCGTCGAAGACTTCCGTGTTGCCCAACCGCTCTGCTTGAAACCAGGCGGTTCAAAGAAAGCCAGCGGTGTGGCAGCACCACATGCCAACACAGCTAAATCTAGTGCTGTCGAAACGAAACGACTGTCTCCCAGACGGGCGCCTCGGAGAACTTGGTGAAATCGAGCTCGATTCCGAAGGCAGCCACGGTATGCAGTCTGAAAGCAAAGCTTGGAGCCGAATGATTTTCAAAAAGTCGTACACAGAAAGGCTAAATCCTTACCTTAAGCTCCGAAGGCAAGCGGGTGTTCATGTAGCTGCAGCCAGTGACCATAGTACGCAGGAGGGAACAACCAAGACGTAGATGCCTAGGATTCGTTCACAGTGTCGATATCCAGGATCGTGCAGGGTAAAGTCGCTTGTTTCCTTGTTCTGGAACCGCCGATGTTTCCGAGTAGTCTTTCGGCCACGAGACAGCGAAACCACTCGACCAAACAAGTGCCAGGTGTGTTGTGGCCTTCGCTCATAGTTGTTGCGATGTCAGCTGACAGCACCAAGTGGTAACTGGCAGGTGCAAGATGAAAAGTGCTAGGAAAGCCCACTGCAAGAGAAACAAAATGGTGCGAAGCAAGGCAGTCAACTCGCGGTTCAGAACCGAAACCGAGGGCCCTAAGGGTTCAACCGTCTAGTCTCCGCGCGTGCGGCACGCTGCTGGGCTGGGGTATGATAACCATGTCTACACAGCATAGCATTTTGCCAGCGGCACGGCATCTGCAGCACTTCAAGAAAGGGCACCAAGGGTGCCGAGGCTTCTCTCTGACGGTTTTGGGCATCGAGGGCACGCTTCAACTCAGGCAGACTGGATTTAGTCCTAATGACGGCTTCGAGGCTGTGCAACAAGTTTTGTGCATTGTCATCTTCCGCCTTCACCGCGGCCGTCCGCTCAGTAGATCTGGCAGGGGCGGAACACTCACACTGAACACGCATCCAGTGGCCCTTTCGGCGTGCGTCACCGCAGAGCACAGAGTGTGGACGCTCAAGTAGGCGCTCAACTGCAATAACATGAAGAGCTTTGTTGCGGGCCTTCTCGTTGTGAGCAGTAAGTTTGGCAAGGCGCCGTTTCATCTGCATGGCAGCTTGTTTGCTGCCAAATGCGACTTCCCCTTCGGGACACTCCTCCCCGGGCCCAGCTTAAGAACCATGGGCCTCAACGGCAGGTCGGGAGGAGCAAGACACCACAGAGGGGTTGCTCTTACTTTTGCACCGGCGTCGAGGAGCAGCTACGAGGCCAGAGAGGTCAGGGACCCAGGCGGCCTTGGCGGACCAACGAACGAAATGCTCACCGGCTTGCACTTCAAGCTGCAAGCAGTGGAGGCCCCACTGCTCCAACACAACGTTGACAGAAAGAGGGTTGAGCAGGCAAGCATGAACCTGCCTGGCCTCAACTTGTGGCACCCATAACGGGCGTAGGCGCTTCGAATCAGGACCATCAGCCTGGAAAAGTGGGCCCGCACAGGTAAGCAAACCTGCGGGTAGCCCCTTTGAAGGTGCGAGTCAAGCTGGAAATAGACAGACCCCGTCAGCACGGGCAAAGACCGTGGCACCGCGCGAAATAGCCGCATCACAGGCAGCGACACCCAGGGCGTAGGCTCGAACGTCGGGCAGGAAGACACGTCAGGATGAATGGTAATTTGCGACCAGCAAGCCTGAAGAGCATACCAGGCATCTTTGCCCCAGTTGAAGGCATGGGTGTCGCCACGGTTAAGCTGAGGCTTGTGTTCCTTAATGCGAAGGAAACTACCGGGGCCTGCATCATGACCAAATTCACAAGCGGAAGAGCGGAAAGCTTTCAGACACCGGCGCGATAGGACCGACAGAAGCTTCAGCCGAGGCCTCACGTGGAGCCTCAGCATTTTCCGGAACATTAGCTTGCTCGTCAAACAAGTTGTTGCGAATCAGGTGCTGCGTGCGAGCCTGGATGATGCGAGCGAGCACAACCTGCACAGTCTGCCAGGACGCAGCCGAAGGAGCGTGCCATCTCTAATGCTTTGCCAGCACGGACACGACCATAAGACATGAAACACGTCCCCATCATCACCATCACAGAAGAGACAGCCGGCACTGGGCGTGAGCCCCGCCAGGTATCGCACATGCTGAGTGGTAATCGCACCGCAGATCAAGGTGTCAGGGATTTTCTGAGCAACGTATGCTGGTCAGCATGAAGAACGACGCGAGTGACATCAAGATCAGCAGCAGAAGCACCGACAAAGTCCTTACGACGACGTTCCGCGCGTTTCAACAGCATGACACGTAATGAGTTGCGGACGTGATGCAACAACTCAGGCTTGGGAGTGGTGAGAACATCGAGATTGACTGGGCCTGTGAGAGTATGAAGGACACACCGTCGTCACAACCCCGACCCAAAGTCCGCAGACGGCGGCGAAACTCTCGCACAGGCCCATGGCCACGGACGCAACCTTTGCGGGTAACAGCATTCCAAGTAGCAAGCCATTGCAGCAAGAACGCCGGAGCCTGAAAGGCACGCCGAAGGGCACAAAAAGAGGCATAATACGCGGCCATCTCAGGGTCAAGGACCTTACCTTGGAAGTACGTGGTCACAGCAGCTTCCGGGCAGCGACGCGGTTTGCCCTCCCACACGACACGCAGCAAGCAAGTGCGAAGTGGGAAGTGGGAACAACTCCGCCCTCGGAATACTTTGACCCTCCAGGCCATAGATGCCCTTAGCCACAGCAGCGGACGCGGCAGGAAACTGACGCTCATGTGAGCACAAGGGAAGACTGGTCAGGCGGCGCATAACTTGCATCATGGCCTGAGCACGAGCCTTACCAGTAGAGACGCAAGGCTGTGAAGAAGCCGACATATCAGTGCCGAGTAAAGTCCAGTGAGTTTGGACCGGCAAGGCTTCAGCACCCCAGACGACAGGCGGTTCAGGGGGCGAAGCATGCCACGCAAAGGTCTTTTGCGCACCTGACACCGTGACCAGACCTTCATCTCTGTTGAACTGCCGAGAGGCATCTACAGCCGCCTGGAGAGTTAAACAGTCAGGCGCTTCGACTTCTCTAACATCAACGAAAGCACAAGGTTTTACCCCAACAGCTTCGATGGCGAGACACCATCTGTGTATCAAGAGGTTGGACGACAACAACGAGAGAGGGCACCCCTGAAGGACCCCTCTCTCCGGCTTAAGAGCAACACTATCAACAGTGCGGCCAACGCGAAAGACATGCTCATGCTGGGCATACAAGGCAAGCCATAAACCAACGTCTTCCGGGCACATACCAGCATCCAGCAAGAGTTGGCCAATGCGCGGGGGTTGCAACATATCAAAAAACTTCCAAGAATCCTCAGTGTACCCATGCGGCGGAGATCCGGTTCAGTGGGGTCGGGGACTTCACCAACAACCAAGACGTGCTCCAATTCAAGCTGCATTTGCAGGTACATGTCCACACAAGTGCGACCAGGGACGCCGCCGAACTGATTGGCACGAACCAGCTCGGGCATCGCAGTGTTGATCTTTTTTGCAAAGTGATCCAAGCCCACACACGATAAGCCAAACAAGCCGCCGAGATGGGGCGAAGTTTGGACACGTCCTGATCACCGCGGCGGCCATCTTTGGGATAAAAACGGTGTGAGCCGACGTAAAGACATCAGGCCAAGAGGAAGCCTGAGCACAGCACTCCAAGAACAAGGTCGAAAAACCGGCAGTACGAAGATCCATCCTTTTCCACTGAGCAGTTTCCAATCATTCGGCCCTCCGATCTGGCATTTGACATTAGCAGGATCGACGGTCAAGCAGTCCTGCTGAGCACGTACTGCCTGAGCAACCCTTCGCTCTCATGGTTCATGTCCAGCCTCACGGGATGGCATGCCCAAAGGCGTTATACGTAAGTTCTTGGCCTCCTTGGCAGACGCCAAACGGAAAATGTGCAACACAAGCTGCAGCAGACTCCCAACTGACACAGCGATGCTTTCAGCTGGCCTTGGCCTTGCCCATCGGATCCTGAATTGAAAAAAGTGCACGATGTGTTTTGATTGCCTATTGGATAAGACAAAAACGTTGGTCATCATATTTTAAACACCACTGGTACGGTATGATATGGCTTAAGGCAATTTGAGAAGAAGTTCCACTGCAGCTTGCTTGAGGACTTCAGGGTCTTGCTGCGGAACCTCAAGGAGAAACACAGTTCCGAACCAGAAACATCTGCGGTTTTGGGCTTGATGCTTGCAACGCAGGACTCGACAAACAGACTTGCCATTCCGAAGCTGAAAACCCAGAATGCCGCGAGCGAAAGCCAGCCTGCATTCAGAGCCGAGGCCCGAAGTCAGTCCGGAATTATACTGCGCATTATAATTTCAACGAGCTTCCCGAGTCTCCTGTGCGGACACGTCTTGGATTCTCAGAGTCTCGTGGAGGCCATGAAGTGTTCGGCCCAATGTTTTAAAAGGACGGGGGACGTGCCATGCCTGCAGTCGGCGGAATCGGCGAAGCTTCACAGCACGCGACGATTCCGTGACACTGACGGACTGGTGTCTACCATTAACACGAATTCCGGTATGGGACTGGTTGTTGTCCTTTCCTGGCTAGGCAGCACAGCTCCGGTTTCTATCTTTTCCAGGTTCACGTCTGTCACGTCCGGATTGATGTTCATCACTTCCTGCATCATGCACGGCTGCTGACGAAGCTTCAGCAGCGTTTAGGTAGGTTCAGGTCCAGGGGGCGGGTGCTGGAAGGAAGGAAGCAGAACATCAAGGAACACTGGGCAGTATGCCAATATATGGTCAGGCGCTCCTCGCCCCCCCCCCCCGTGGGTGGGATGTGGGGTTTACGGTTTAGCTGAAGCTTTCGAGTCGACAAGAGCTTAGGGAGGGTTTGGGGTGTAGGTTGGTAGGGTGACGGTTTCTGCTCTGCTTCAAGCTTAGAGCCT